CTGAAGCGGTCCAACCTAAGGTCAATCTCAAATCCACCATATCCCATGTCTGGCACCAACGACTTACGAGGAATAACGCCTTCCCCGGCGTGAATTTCGAAATCCTTCTCGGAGTTTGCCTTCGAACGCATCGGGGTCGCTGAGTCACCCGGGGTCTTGTACCCTCCATACAATCTCTCCAGCTGTCGTTCCCTCTCTAACCATTCCTCCTGTTCGGTTCTCTGACCAGACTGGGACCCACGATTATCTTTAGTTGAAAGTACATCGGGAGGATATTAGATCTCGATGAGACCGTCGAAGTGCATCATGTCAAACCCACCCAAAGTCTTAGGGACCTCACGTTCGGTCCGCACCCAGTCGGCCTCATCGGACGAGTGGAAGTGGCTCTTGACACCTGGTGCTTGGTTCTTTCTACTAAACGGGTCGCCACCGTAACCCCCGGAAGAAGTCGCTAGAACCAAATAAAGAAATCAGATCAAATCGAGCGACGATCGGGACCAAGCCATACTGTCTCCTGGAGGAGGATAATTCTCAGGTTGTCCAGCAGCGTTCTCGGGCTTCATGCCTATGAACAAAACCCAACCGAAATGAGTAATCGGAACGTTCTCCGGTGAACGGAGATAGACAACGGACTGTTATCGACGAGACTGCCTGGGTAAGCTTGATTCGGTGCGTTGCTAGTATATTGATCGCTCATGATCGAGTAGTCTCAGAAAGAGGAGTGAAAGTGAACTGGACGCCGCCCTCGAGGTTCGGGAGGCTTAAGTACAGGAGCCGGTGATTGTCAAATGAAATCAGGTCCCATGACATCAGGACCGGATCCGATGGCTCCGGTTCAGTCACATAGAAGCGAAATAGAGTCCGCCCTTCAGTTGCGACAAATATTTAAGGTCTACGAAATACAAACAGTATTCTAAAGGTAAAATGACAAGAATGTACTATCTTCAGGACGTGGTTGTGACAGGCTTGACCAAGTTCTGTAAAACGGCGCCTAATTTCCCTCTCTTCTCTGGTTCCAGCAGAGATAAATTAATTGTGAGGTTACTTACGCTCCCGTCCGGTGAAGTGCTAAGAAGCACCACTGGTGGCTGTGGAGTGGTTCCAGGAGCAATGCTACCCAATGGCACGGGAATAATATCGATTGCTCGCAGTGACTCTAGGGCAGAGGTGGGGATTGATAATGGCAGAGCCGAATTTGGTGGGGCGTAAGGCGCAGGCGTCGTCGGGAAGACCGGAGTGCTCGCCAACGGAGTACTCAAAGCTGTTAAGCTGCCAGCTGTGCTCAACGTGCCGGAAGGGGACGCTACCGCCGGGTGAGCCGGGTAGGATGGAGGAACTCCAGCGGCACCCGGATGCAAGTAGCCGTACGATCCGTAAGGGTAGGGCACGGCATACGGAACCCTCATGCTTGACATCGCAGCTGCATATTGTTGGTAATACGCTTGGTATGCTGGGTTGGTGGCATAGGCTGCGTAATTCGGATACGACATGCCAGCAGCAGTTGGGGTGGGGGGTGGGGGATAAGCGGGATAGGAGTATGCAGCGTGCTGGTAAGGAGTTGTGGCGCTTGAAGGTGTGGTAGGAATGCCCCGCTTTAGGCGCTCCTGTCGATCCTTCTCTGCTTGAGCCTCACGGAGTTGTGAAGTTAGACGAGTATTGAGCTCTCTTTCAGATTCGAGGACAGCTTGAGTGAGCCAATACATTTGATCGTCTGGGGAAGTTTTCTACAAAGAGGTAATGTAATCGGTTAGGAGCAGTGCCAGGTTGAACGTTGCGAAAGTTTTTTCACTCACGGCACCTTCCCGTGTGCGAACCTGCCGGAAACGTTCTTTCAATGCCCGAGCCTCTTTATGAAGTTCCAAGGCAAATGAAGTCTCTGTGATTCAGGTGAAAATTCGTTAGAGGTTTGGGACAATTTAAGGGATGCCATGATTCCGAACGTGCCTTCACTCTCTCGTGCTATCGTACGGAGATGAGGTGGGAGGGCAGCAACGTCTGTTGCCTTGCCTTTCCCTTTTGCAGATAGAGCGCGATTGTTGAGTGCGGTGGCATACTCCAACTCCTCCTGATGGTGTTGGAAGACATGATAAGGGAGCAACCGTCGCACGACGTCGACAGCATCACGAAAGGGTGTCTCGACATCCGGGCTATCAACTGCTCTGTGATCGGTAGCGAGAAGTTGGGCGAATCTGATACATTAGCCCAAACGTGAATATAGAGCGTCAGAGCTCGCACTTATCAACGAACAAACGGGTTTGACTCACGCATTCCGCGTTGCCAGCTGGAGTTCTTGGTCCTCCTTTGTTTTTAGTCTCTTTCTACTGAGAAGATAAGCAGCTTCTTCCTCCCTTCTCCTTTCCTTTTCCGCGAGGGCAACGGAGGAACCGGGCACCAGAGTTGATAGCACTTGACCCAGAGGAAGGGGTGCTGTGCCGTTTGAACCGGGAAAGGCCGCAGTGAATCCTGACGGTCCAGGAGTGGGTGGTGGTGCAGTTGTGGATGAAGTACCATTAGCATTCGATGACTTCAAGGTGGAATCAACTTGTTGAGCTTTTGCTATACTTGATTTTCGAGGTCCGGAAGCAGTGATGGGGGTGGTCCCATTGCCATTGGCGCTCTGGGCATGGGAGTGTGTCAAATGACTTGAATTCTCTTGAGATTGGGATGATCGACCATTTTGAGAATGATTTGGAAACACGAACGGTTGTGAAATTTCGTTTTGCTTTGCGTCAGCCATTTTTTCGAAGTATGTTTGTTGGCCCCGTTCATTTCAAACTCCGACAGACCCTGTTCGTTCGACTTATTTCGCAGCTTTGCAGCTCCTAC